GATCAAAATGTCCAATCTATTTTTTTTTTTTTTGAGACAGAGTCTTGCTCTGTCACCCCAGGTAGAGTGCAATGACATGATAATAGTTCACTGCAACCTCAAAGTCCTGGCCTCAAGCGATCCTCCTGCCTCAGCCTCCCGAGTAACTGGGACTACAGGAGTGCACCACCACACCTGGCTAATTTTTCTGTTTTTAGTAGAGATGGGGTCTTGCTCTTGCTCAGGCTGGTCTTGAACTCCCGAGCTCAAGCAATCCTGCTGCCTCTGCCTCCAGCATACTAGGATTACAGGTATGAGCCACCACGCCTGGCCCTTGTCCATCTTTTTTTGCTCTTGGGCTATACATCAAGTCTCGCTGTTGTACTTATCGATAAGCATCTGTTAAGGGAATGAATGAGCCTCCTGCTGATGACAGCTCCTGCTGGCTGTTGTGCCCATGTTTCTGTTGGATACATGACAAAATTAGGTTACTCCCCATTAAATGTAATATTTACAGGCAAAAGTTTTTAAAACACGGGCTTGTGGAGGAAAAATAACAATCACAGCTAATGCTTATGTGGCACCTGCTGTGTACCAGGGAATGCTCTAAGCACTCCCATCGGTGACACCTGTCGTCCTCGTTAAGACTCTCCAGGGAGGCTTCTGTTACTTCTCCGTTTTACCGATAAGGAAACCAGGGAGCAGAGAGGTTTAAGATCACTCAGCTAATAAGTGGCAGAGTCAGGATTTGAACCCAGGCCTAGTGGTTCTGGAGTTCACACTCTCAAACACTGGAATGACTACTTCTCCAAATAAATAAACTAATGAAAACAAAATTTTAAAAAACGGCGGTGAAAAGGTTGCTCGTTAGTGCCCTGGCCCAACATCCTCATTTTTTTTAAGTGAGGAAACTGAGGCCCAGATGGGCAGCGGAGTGTCTGCGCAGCCGGCCAGAAGCAGGTCTGTGCCTGACAGCCTGGCAGGCCCACTCCTGGCCTCCCCAGGAAGGCAGCCCCCTGCCAACCTTCCTCCTGCCTTCAACCGGCAGGTCAGGACGCCAAGTACTGCGGGTGCAGAAGAAACAGAGTCCTGGCCTAAAGGGGACCAGAGGCGCAGCCAGATAGAGAACAGTGTATTGTCGCGCTGAGCTCTTCCCTGGCACATGCTCTGGTTGCATCCATTTGCTTTCATGTGCAACACCTCATTTTGTCCTCATCAAACCCCTGTGATGCTGGCTGAGTAAACAGTGGCCATGGAGTGGAACTGCTGCTGTTTACTCAAGGCCCACAGGGGCTCAAGGTTCAAGTTCAGAGGGACTCAAGCCTTTGGACAGGAGAGGAATGTGCAGCATGCTGAGATTACAACATTGTTTCCTATGGGAGATGGGACCCGAGTTCCAAAAAATCTTACACACTTCTGGATCAGAACGTGCTGGGAGCTGCCAGGAAGAAAGGAGGCTGGCAAGGTCAAGAGGATGCAGCCGTCCTTTTGGCAGGCAACGGCCTTTACAGGTTTTATATCACAATTGCTCATCTATTTTGGTGAGACGATAATAATCTGGTTATGCTTTCTTAAAAAGAATACTTTTAGAGTTTTTTGTTTTTTTGTTTTGGGACAGAGTCTCACTCCGTTGCCCGGAGTAGAGTGCCATGGCGTCAGCCTAGCTCACAGCAACCTCACACTCCTGGGCTCAAGCGATCCTCCTGCCTCAGCCTCCCGAGTAGCTGGGACTACAGGCACGCGCCACCATGCCCGGCTAATTTTTTCTATATATTTTTAGTTGTCCGATTAATTTCTTTCTAATTTTAGTAGAGACGGGGTCTTGCTCTTGCTCATGCTGGTTTCGAACTCCTGAGCTCAAACAATCCGCCCGCCTCGGCCTCCCAGAGAGCTAGGATTACAGGTGTGAACCACTGTGTCTGGCCTTTTGGAGTTTTGTACTCAAGAATTTGTGGACAGGCCCGGCGCGGTGGCTCACGCCTGTAATCCTAGCTCTCTGGGAGGCCGAGGCGGGCGGATTGTTTGAGCTCAGGAGTTGGAAACCAGCATGAGCAAGAGCAAGACCCCGTCTCTACTAAAATTAGAAAGAAATTAATCGGACAACTAAAAATATATAGAAAAAATTAGCCGGGCATGGTGGCGCGTGCCTGTAGTCCCAGCTACTCGGGAGGCTGAGGCAGAAGGATCGCTTGAGCCCAGGAGTGTGAGGTTGCTGTGAGCTAGGCTGACGCCATGGCACTCACTCTCTAGCCCAGGTAAAAGAGTGAGACTCTGTCTCAAAAAAAAAAAAAAAAGAATTTGTGGACAAAATGATAGTATTTCTGGATTTCTTCAAAGTAATCTCCAGGAATGGGGAAGGAGTGCAGACATACAACTTGGCCCTAGCTCCATAATCGTTGAACCTGAATTTTGATTGTATAGGCCTTACTTACTATTCTCATTAGTTTTTTTAAAGGTTTGAATCTTTCACAAAAAGGTATTTTTAGAGTAAAAAAAGAGAAATCTCCTAGCGATAAATAAAAGCATTACATGTATTTTTTTTTTTTTTAAGTTTTCTTGTAGCCACAGCAGGCAGCTGCTACAGTATATTTGATTCACACTGGGGAAGAATTTGGAAAAAACAGGGCTTCAGAAAGATTATTCTGGTTTCTGAGGCAGACATTGGGATGTTTTTGGCCCCAGGGAACTCAGGATCTGGCCTGTAGCCCCCGGGGGTCTAGTTCTCTGGCTCTTTATTAATAGCCGCGGCCAAGTCGCCACGGGCATCTGCAGTCCTGGCGAGCAGAGCCCGCGGCGTGGCCCGTGGGAGGGCACACAGGCCGCCTTAGCGCGGCTGGAGTCATGCGCGGGCTCATTGCCACCGTCCAAGAGCCCGGTCACCCGTGCCTAAGCAAGCTCCAATCGACCGGGTCCACGCCCCTGCCCCGCCCGGCCTGCAGGTGGCAGCGAGGCGGCGAGCAGGGAGGAGCGCACGGTCAAGGCCGCAGAGCCCAGGAACGGACAAGGCGCGGGGCCAATCCCAGCGGGGCGCACGACGAGGCACGCAGTGAGGGAGGAAGTGACCTTGGGGCGGGGACCTGCTAGCGGCTGGGGTTCCTGGGAGAGGAGGGAAGGTCATCTGAGGACAGTGTCACAGTCCAGCTTGCGTGGCATAAACTGCTAGAGGCACGCAGTTTCCGCGGGAGCGGCCGAAGCAGGTGCGGTGCAGCCGCGCGTCTGGCTGCCCTGGCCCAGCCCGCCATCCTTTCCGGGCCATGAAATCTGCGGGGGTCGGGAGCCTGGAATCGCTCTCGGCCAGGAAAGAGCCAGCAGGGGGATGAACCCCCTTAACTCCTTTTTCTTTTTTCCTTTTCTTTCTTTGTTTTTTTTTTTTTTCTTTTTATAGACAGGGTCTCGCTCCCTCACCCGGCCAGGCTGGAGTGCAGTGGCCTGATCTTAGCTTACTGTTCACTGTAACCTCGGACTCCTTGGCCTCAAGCGATCCTCCTGCCTGGGCCTCCCAAACTGCTGGGATTACAGACATGAGAAACGCCTAATTTCTAACCTCAAAGAAATGTAAATTAAAGTGAGAAACTCTCCCTTCCTGCCCCTCCTTTAAGGATTAGCAAAGATTAAAATAATCCATAAAAGGAGACAAGCCCCTACTCCATGCCCGGGTGGCAGTGGAAGTTAATAAGCTTTTACGGATGGTAACTTGGCAAAGTGGCACCAAAATGTCGCATGTGCCTTGTTATTTCACTTCCAGAGATCAATTCGACAGAAGAATCAGGAGCTCAAAGAGGTACGTCGACGGTCAGTGCAGCTTTTGTTTATACCTGCAGTGGTGAAAAAGGGGGCCTCCGGTTTCCACTGGGGGCCGGGTAAATGGATCACAGTTCCTCGGGGGCCTTCTCCGTCGTCCACAGAACTATTAATATGTCCCCCGCCTAGACCACGTGAAAACAGAAGTGCTGCAAACAGCATACATCCCACGCTTGGTTTGAAACAAGGAGGCTGGGGAATGCGCGGCAATGGTTAACCGCAGCGGTGGGGGCGGCGGAGGCGGGATCAAGGGAGAACTTTCATTTTCTCTTCTAAATCCTTCTGCGGTGACGACCCAATAGTACAGGGAGAAAGAGAGTGGCAAACATGTATTTTTCATAACCGGAAGGAGTAATTGACCTTTAGGAGAGCCAAGTCTTTGCTTATAAAATCGGCGCACTGATGGAGCACCTGCTGTATGCTCGAGCCTGGGAGCATTGCGGGCAAAGACGGGGGAGGAGCGCCTCGCTTCGAGGGGAGGGCGAAATCCGGGCGCCCCCTTCCCCCGCAGCTGCCTGGGGCTACACCCCTACCGTCCGCCGTCGTGCACTTCCCACTGCGGGCCCGCTCCCGGGCACCTGCACAGGGTCTCTCGGTCACTCTGTCTGGGCTCCAGCCGCTCTTTTGGCACCTATTTTGTTCTTGACGCTGGAATACTTATTTTATTAAATTTCACCAAAGGCCCGCAAGGGAGGCATTTTCACCCCTGCTAGATGAGGAGCAGTCACGCTGGGGATAAAGTCCGATTTGGGGGCATGGGCTCTGGAGTCAGACCTAACACAATGTTGGATCCAAAGCTTGTTCAGCTGCCTAATCGTGGGCAAGTTAATCATCCTTTACTTGGCCCGGGCCCCTCATTTGTAAAAAGGGGTGGAAGATGAATAGCACCAGCCAGGTAGCAGTGCCATGAGGACTGTGTGGGGCCATGCCATAAACCGCCGGCAGGAGCCAGGCACGGCGCTAGACGCTCTCATGGGCACCGTCTTCATGAGTTGACCCATTTTACAGGCAGGGAAACTGAGGCTCGTGGGGTGAGGAATCTCGTCCTACGCCCCATCCTAGCAGAGGCCAAGGCTGCGCTCGCCGGTGCGAGCCTCAGTTTCCCCTCCCGAGGCGCCCCGCTGATGCCCCGCCCCAACGCCCCGCCCCGGCCAGGGCCCGCCTCCGGGCCACCGCGCGCCAGGAGTGGCCCGCCCTCCGGCGCCTCAGCCCCGCCCGCCTCAGCCAATCGGCTGCGGCCGGCGTCGGGTGCGCTCGGCCTCGCCCGCAGCCCTCTTGTCTCCGGCGCCCGCTCGCCTCGCTCACTCTGCTGCTGCCGCCGCTGCCCCGCCGCCGCGTCTCCGTCGCTCCCTCGGTAATGCCGGGCCGGGCCGCGCGCCGCGGGAAGGGCTGGCGGGCGCCGCCCTGCGGGGTGCGGCGGGCCGGGGGCGGGGGGGCGCGCGGGTGCTGCCGGGACCCGGGCCGGGTTGGGGGGCGCCGGGAGGAACCCCAGCATTACCCTTGGACCGGGAGTTGGCGGAGAGCTCAAAACTGGGGCGGGCTGGGGGGCTCTGCAGCCCCCCGGTGAATTGGGTCTGGGGGTCCTCCCGGAGGTCGGTCTGCCAGCGGTCGTGTCCCGCGCGGCAGCGGGAGGGATGCTCTGCTCTCTGGCCTTGGCAGGGCGCCTCTGGCCCGGGGCCAGTGGAGCCGTCGGCTTCCTTTCCCCGCCCGTCAGTCCGCCCGGGACTGGATTGGGTCTGGGGGTCTGCCCCAGAGTCTGTCTGACCGCGGGCGCGTCCCCTGCGGTGGCGAGAGAGAGGTCTCCAGCCCGGGGCTGGTAGGGCCGCCGACTCCTTTCCCGGTGCCATCCCAGCACTGGGTCTGGGGGTCCGCCCAGGGGTCGGTCTGCCGCCAGTCGTGTCCTGCGCGGCAGCGGGAGGGATGCTCGGCCCTCGGGATTGGGCAGGGCGCGGTCGGCCCCTTCTCGCGCCCGCCCCCGCAGTGCAGCCGCGGGGACACGCCCTTGGCGCGGGGACTCCTGCGCCGTGCGAGCGCCGCGGCGAGCGGGATGGGGTACCGGGCCAGTCCGGGCTGCAGGCCCCCCCCACACGCCCCCGACGGCGCTGGCTCCAGGGCAGGTGGGCGCGGGGAGTCTGCCCAAGGTCGCGCCCGGCGTCAAGACCGCGGGGCCGCGGTGGGTGGCACCACGTGATCAGGCCGGGGTGAACTTGGCCTGCGAGCCCGACGGCGCGGTCGGGGCACTCCGGACAGCCCCCAGCTGGGAACCACCGCTGTCCCAGCCAGCAGCCGGCTTCGTCGGTTTTGTTGGGAAAGGCCGTGGCTCAGCGTCTTTATAATGTAAATCGGTGCTTGGCTTTCGTCAAAGCTGAAGGACAAAAAAGATGAGGGGCTGATCGTACTTTTTTCCCAACTCGAGAGTTAAAAATCCCACGTAATTACTAGGTTAGACACAGAACAAACTCAATGTTCCCAACGAAGGGCAGGCTTTCGGTTTCCCTCTGCTCCATGTATTAAAACATTAAGAGCAGATTGTAGTAGGAAGCTGGTAACTTTGTAAGTTACCGAGTACAATGAAAATCAGTTTAACCTTTTGAAATGTGTATTTTGTTACACCATTCCACAGGCGTCCGGTTTCTAGTCATTCCAGATATTCAAGCATATTTATTTTCTTCTAAGCCACAAACCAAATGAATAAAAAATGGCTGAACAGCGCTGGTCTTTCATTTAAACCAGCAACATCCTTCCCCTTTCTAAATTATTTAAGGCCACCTGGCAGCTAGAGCGCAGCTGGAAGTGTAAGGACCTCGGCGCAGGTGAGATGGGTGCCTGCTGAGCCCAATGAGGGTGCAGTTGTTCGTTGCCTTGGGGAGCATCAGCTTTCAGAGTTGGTTCTTTGGGTTGGTTTTGCCTCAGTACTGACAGCGCATGGGCTCTTTTTCGCTTGTAAATTACTGGTTTCCTTCCTAAGAAGCGTTGCTAGACTAGACCTTGAACTTGAACTTCATCCTTACAGTGTTGAAATCAAACAGAAAAAAAGGGCCAGCTTTAGGAGTGCACATACTTTGTATCAAAGTGGCAGAAATTGGCATCATGCACAGGCCAAAATAACCTTTCGAGTTTGTACTAAAAACAAACCGCCTAACCTGGAGGGGAAAGGATTAGACTGGGTCCCTTCCGCTGCTGCTGCTGCGGCTCTTGGCCCCCGCCCCGGCCCAGCGGTCACTCAGCGGTCAAGCCTGGGCTCTGGGGAGTCCTGGGCAAAGGCCTGCGCTTACCCAACCTTGGCCCCGCGTGCTCATTCATAAAAACACCATTAATTTTTTTCCGGGCTTCGCAGAGAACCCCTTCCAGACGCGCCCTGGGCTCTTGGGCGCAGTGCCTGCGCTTCTGGTCTACTGGATGTGGCATCTGTCATCAGACGCCCTGAGCTCCTAACGTCCCCAAGGCAGAGCACCGCAGGGCCCGGCCTTCCCACGGAGAAGCGCGTTGCATTGCGCCCGCTGTCGCCGGGGGGGCCGCCGCGACGCGCGCCAGCTAGCTGCGTAAGGCCTCTGTGGGTACGGCGGGTGGAACAGGATCTGAACGCCCGGGACGCGCGGGGGCGGGGCCCCCGCTGACCTTTCCCCTACTTTTCTGCGCCGTCACGTGACTCCCGCCCAGGGGTGGGGAAGGGGCGGGGCGCGGAGCCGCGGTGGCCGGACGCGTTCCAAGCTAGCAATTAAAAATGCTGCCTGCAGTCTAGAGGCCGGGGAAGGTGGTGGCGGTGGGAGGCGGAAACGGGCGCCCGCTCAGGCCCAGGGCTGCTTCTGCACTTTGATCGGTTCGCATTTTTTCCTTTGTTGGAAAAAATGTTTAGTCACTGCGCATGGTTATTATTGGCAGGCCACAGTTGTGCTGCTTGGGGAAGCCTGAACTTGAATTCCGGAAGACTTGGTGCTTTGAGAATTCAAGATTGTATGTTGGAAAGCCTGTTTGAGACCGTCCCTCTCACACTTCAGTGAGGCCTCAACTGTCTTAGAACGGCTAATGCCAGTGTCGAGCTTTCTTTGCGAGGAACTTTTTCTTGGTTTGTTTTAAAAATAAGCGATAATAGCACACGGTGCAAAGTTAGAGAGGAACGCTTGGGCATACGGAGCAGTCGGCCTTCTCGCTCGCATCCTCTCTCCAGACACCATTACTATTAGTTTCCTTGATGATTTTGGAACTAGTCTGGGCTGTACGGGGCATGCTTTTTAAAAAAATCTATTAACACAAATAAAAAATATTTTCTGCTTGTTGATTTCAAGTACTTGTTGCCTTTTGTAAACTTCAACTTTTACCCCATGCAAATATTAGGTGAACTTTGGGTCCCCAGCAGGCCCTGGGCTGAGGCCAGCTTGCCCTGTTGGGGTAAGCCTCCCTTCCGAGGAATGTCTACCTTTGCCTTTCTCTTGTGTGGGTGGAAGCTAATAATGAAAGAAACTGCTGCAGAGTGAGGTGTGCCTCTCGGCCGGCCGCAGTGTACAGTAAGGTCACTGTCACCTTGGAGGGTGGGGAAGTAGGGTGGCCACCCCTGTGCTTGCTGAGGGTCACTGGCTAGTCACTGGGAGGGCTTTAGGTAAAAAAGAAAGGAGTATTCCACACTGTTGATGCTGGTGGTGTGTGGTCCATCCCAGGAACCTGAGTGTCGTCCCACTTGCTTCCCATTCCCTGAGCCCCCACGTGCATGCAGCTGGCGCCGCGTCCTGCTGCTTACCTTCCTAAATTGCTCTTAAACTTGCCTTCCTCATGCACCCCATGGCCCAGAGCAGGTGTTCGGATATATGCTGAAGGAATGACAGAATGCGGGAGGCCCTCTTTCTCCCGAGGGTTGCTGCAGCCTCCTGACATGGTGGGGCCCTTTGGAGCACCATTAGTTAGTTCCGTTTGTGTTATGGGAAGTTCATGTCCTTCGTGTTGTTGAATATTATGGTCGGGAACTTCTGGACCTGACACCATCCTCTTCGTTCCTGACCCCTTGTCCCACTGGTCTTGGCTTGCTCTGGAGTCCCGTGGTGCCACACGCAGGGCATGCAGCACGCTGTGTCGTGATGCCCTGGTGGGGGTGAGCTCTGTGAGGGCAGGAACATTGGATTAGTTCCCTCTTTTTAGAATCCTCCCCCCAAATTAAAAAAGTAATACATGTTTGTATTAAAAGCAAATGTAAAATAACCTTACTTTTAAGAAATTGTATGCTATAACTCAAATTTGGCTTTTGATAAAATGATTGTTTATTTATTAAAGCATTTATCTGTGATTTCCCAAGTCTGCTCCTCTAGTGCCCTAAAAGAGGTTTGATACACAGAGGTTTGGTTTCTTTATATTTTTTCAAACACACCCCACGGTGCAATGTGAGATCCAACTCCGTATGCTCAAAATGCATCAGCAAATTGCTAAAAGTTAAATGTCAAAGTTAGAGGGGAGGCCAGGGTATCAAGTGCTGGCGTTGAGATTTGGCATGGGGGGTGCAAAGAGGAAGGACAGGAGGAGATCCACGCTCTTGGCACACTTGCGTTAGTGGCACATGGCTGCAGTTGGAAAGGTAGGAAGACTGTGTTCCTGCATTAAAGACCTAACGTGTGTTGGGGCCGGTCACCGCGCTGTCCTTCAGTTTGTGTGGGGTGTGGGTGTCATGCATACTTTATGTGCCAGGGGACATCGTGTGAGAGGCGATGACATTTGCTCAAGGTCCCACATCTGAGTACGTGTTAGAGCTGGGATTTGAACCCAGGTCTGTGTGTTCTCTCTCTCTTTCCCAGGATGCTTCCCAGACCAGTGGGCAACCAGAGATCCTCGGTTTAGAGGCCCCACCCCCACTTGGGCTGGATGCGACACTGAATCAGCCTGGAATGTTTCTGGGTTTCCTTTTCCTCATCTGTAGGATGGTGGCTCTGACACCTGTCCTTCTGTGTCACACGAGTTTTATGACAATCCAATAAGAGGTTGGATGTGGAAAGAGTTTTGAGTGTGGGAAATAAATACAGGTTGTAGCAAATGGTACAGGTTCTAGCAAATGGTGTCCTGGCTGCAGGTGGGTTTTATGGGCACCACTTGCATTTTGCAGTCCCCAAATGGGAACATGTGGTTTGATAAATTCAGTTTACTCTGCGTGCAAAGATGAGGAATGCGCAAGGGAAATACAGGGCGCACGACCTCCATGGTCGTAGGAGCATTTCCAGGAACGGAATACTGGTACCAAGAGGGGTTCGGGATCTCTCTGGGTGGATGCATGCCTCCCCACAGCAGTCTGGAGCCAGGTCAGGCACGAGCCAGCGGAGCACAGGCTCTTTACCTTCCAAGCAGGCGTCTGAGTAGATTGTCCAGGCAATTGGGCCT